TTGTGTCTGGACTATAGTGCACTTACTTTGTTTTAATTTGTCTTTTTTTTTTTTGAGTAGGCCATTTGTTAATTTAATAGAAATTTTTGTTTGTATGTATGTATGTGTTTTAATTATTATTTGTGTCTATTGCAGCAGCATAATGGTCCTTATTTGTTACAGGATTGATGCCTAACAATCTAGAGACCTATTTAACAATTGGTGCGTCAAAGAAAGCAGTACTGTATACTTGAAACTGTTAAGGTACAAGTTGGTCACAATTTAGAAAAAAAAAAGGTATGATAATTTACTATACGTTTGCAAATATGCTGCTTTAAGAGGGGGACAACAGCATTTGTGTTGTATATTAAAAACATTTTCATGTATGTGTAGGATTTAAAACAGTGTTATACCTATACACAGCCATTTAGTGCATAGGTTAACGTTCTCCCATCAATCTACTGGGCACTTCTTATGATCTACAGTTAAAATCCATTTCTCGGTTTTTCATTTTTGTGATTTCAACATTGCAAGTATTACCTTACAACATTTGCTGCTACTGTGTCATTTTAATTTGCTTTCCATAAAATCTCTCAACATTCAACCAGACAAAATCCTGATCCATTACTTGCTTTGCTTAGCTAGTTTTGTTTTTTTTAACCTTTTTCCCCCTTTGCTGTGGAACTAAGAATGTGAAAGCTGTCAAAGGGTGTTCAATTTTTTACGAATCACTTTCTAGTTTGATAACCAGTGTGATTCATTCCAAAGTAACAGAAGGCTATTTGTATGAAAGAAAAAGGCTTGTGAACAAAGAAAGCTAAGCTGTTGTACATATTCGTAGTTGGCTGTGCATGGTACAAATTTATTAATATGAAGAAATGCAAAAATGTATTGCTTTTGGTATTTCCTATTCTGAAATGAGCAAGTAGCATGTAATGCAACTGTTTGACAGGTTAAATCAAATCATGCTTAGTTATTGTTTCAAACAATGAAATCAAGTTACATTTCCTCTTATGTTTTATTGTTGTAAAGATGTTTTTTTCAAAGTTTTAAAGCAAAATGTCAGTTTTTTTTTTATTTTCTGTGTGAGCTTTTTAAATGTCATTTGGATTTTTAGTATTTTACATTTACTTTATTCCTGAAGACACTTTTCGATTGTGTTTCATAAGAGACATCCTGGCCTCCCAAGGTGCAATTCTGCCATTGTACAAACATAAGCGACTGTCCTGATTCCAAAGGCTTTCACAACTCTGGCTTTTTGCCTTTCCCCACTTTGTGGCTCAGCATTAAAAGACTGAACTGTCAGCTAGCATCATGAGCTAAGATGCTAGCATCAGACAGGACGCTTTCCACACCAAGGACTGGTAAAAGCTAACAAACCAACAAAAAGGATGGTCCAACAATATAACTGTACATAGATATTGCAACTGCACAGCAGCCAAAAAGAAAAAAAAGAACTTTTTAAAAAAAATGGATGGATTGTGTCATGTTTATGGGGACAGCCTTCAAAAGGCTGAAATTGGAATTGTTCTTCTGGATGTCAAAGGGATTTTCATGGCGCAATCATATCCTACACAATATGTACTCTACAACATCTGGGTTACATAGGAAATGCACCCTGAGGTTTTAATAAGAAGAAGCCCCTATGGCTAAAACTTTAAATAAACTAAACCAAAAATGTTATTGATGTTTTATATATAGAGAGTAGTCGCATTAGTTTTTGTTACTGTACTGTTTGAGGTCTCAACTGTACCGTATCACGGTAATAACATGGTTTTGAAACCTTCTTTTTTTAATTTTGTCACAGACCTGTTGTCATAGTTGAAATGACGTTTATTGTAGATGGTATTTGAACAACTTCTGGAAATAGTTCATCAAGTATGTTTGTTGCTCATTGTTGTGATACATTAAAAACTGTATCTGCAAACCAGTTTGGTCTGTGAAATACTGTTTGATTCATTCCCTCTTACATAGGTTTGTGTTTCAAATGCCCAATAGCCATTTCACAGCTTTCTCAAAATTTCAATGAAGAAATTGCATTTGTAGCTGGTTAGATCGAATGCTAAAAACATAAAGCAATGCTGCTGTTTGGCTTTTTAACAGCAATTCTGATGATCCTCACGTCCAAAAAAATGTTCCGTAGCTCCCTTTTGAAATTCCACATGTCTATTGTGATGGCATTGTGGTTCAAGAAGACATAATTTTAACATTGGGAGGGTAATTTTCAAAGTGGGGATGTAATTACCATACTGCAATTAACAATGTTGGGCATGCCACTGACATTTCTGGCACAGCTCTTAATGAATTCTATGAGGTTTTAGGCTGAAAGGTATAACATCCTGCGGTAGGTTTTTGATACATTTCTCACAATATTTTCAAATAAGTGTCTTTTGGCCAGATGTTTGTTTCTGCCACCACTGTCATTTCAGATAGTGACACACCAGAAATTCAAGCCACATAATGGGTGATGTCCATCTCTATGCTACCAAGGTATTCTGATTCTAACCAGATGCAAAGAATTATGTTTGGAAGTAAGTGCAAATGTTAATCTGATCAGGTACAGCTCACAGCATTGAGAAAAAGTTGGTATGATAAATTACAGCCATAAATAAGCAGATGGACAGCCTCATTAGAAAGAGAAGACGGTTTCTATCCTCTTAAAATTGATTAAAAAACATTGTTTCAGTCTTCGTTTTTTTACCCCAGATCTGACAGATAGATGTATAGATAAATGTAAAAGACATGTTTTACAGCCCATTTATGTGCTGCTTTTAAAATTCTATTACGAGCCAAAATGGATGCTAGTGTCAGACAAAAGGGTGACATTTAAGATGTGAGGTCAACAGAGGCTGTCCCATTAAAAATTGCTCCTCAGAAACACCCTAACACAATATATCACACCCTGCCAGCCAGACATGTCCGCCACCGGTGTCAGGGTCACGTCGAAAGCAGACGTTCACAAGTTGTTAAATCCACCTAATGAAATTTCACAAGGGCAACAAAAATAAAGGGGAATCTTCTCCTTCCCGATCGGTTCGCGGCCATATATATAGTTTGACTTCGCACACTGTATGTGAAGCAGTGAAACAGCCGCCGACATGTAAAAGCCACAAATAGTTTCTTTTTTTTTTTTTTTTGCTCCCCCACTTCTGAATTCACCCTTCACCCTTGACGAATGTGCTCAGCTCACAGGGTGCAACTGTTCTGCTGAATGGTCCTTTCCTGTTGCTCACCCTGAAAATGCAGCCAGTTGCCAGGTTAACCCTCCCCCAACCCCACCGTATTATGGGATTGAATTGCGATTGACCTTTTTGGAGAACAATGGCTGAAGGCCTTTCATTTTTCTGGCCTTCTCAGTGCCTACAAGAAGGGCCTCTTAACACTGTATTTTCGATGACAGGACAATCTGCGCAGCAATTGCATGTGTGACTTTCTATGTTCAGGAGTGCATTATTGCTCATTTTAAGGCCAATGAAAACATGAATCCATCAAACGCAATTGTGATACAACTTTATTTTAGGGCCACCCAGTTTAACTGGCATAATGCACTTTTCTAAAAAAAAAAAAAAAGAGAGGCAAACTCTTTGCTAAAGAGGCCATGGCAGTGAGTGGTCTTGCCCTGAATACACGATAAAAGGTTTACTGTAAATTCTAAATGGTGTTTTCTGCAACCCATACATCACTTATGACCATTAGGTTCCACCCTCACTGCTCGGTGCACCCTCCCAGCCAAGGCTTTCCAGATGATACAGTACAGAGGATGCAGTGGAGGCAGATCTGGCTTTGAATAGCCTGCAGCCAATGGATTTTCTCTGGATAATACAATGTTTGGGACGGAGAGGCAGGGATTAGTCCAGACGGATACATCCACCACCCCCCACATGCCCAATCTAATTAGACTGGAATCAGTTTAAGATGAAAGCAAGCCCTAGCATCACCGCACTAAATACTGGAATTAGTATTCCCCGCATGGGAATTTAATGATGGAGACTGAAAATCCAATCACATTCACTCCCAGTTTAGCCCCTCATGCATTGGGTCTGGACAATGACGAAACGAAAGAACAACAACAATGATTTGTCTGTCAATAGATATTGATCAACATCACATCTGAGGCCACTTGCGTATTGGCGTAACTATGTTGTCATCAGTTAACAAGGA